TCAAAGGCTTTAAACGCCCCTCCTAGTAAGCCTCAAATCCAAGAGTGGCTTCTGCGTCCAAACGCAGCGAGCCCGCTTGCAATGCTCTGTCGGGTCGGATTCTGATTTCGGGGGCTTTTGGTGTTTGTAAGGATGTTAGGCTTAGGGTTTAGGGGCCTTGGGTTTTTTGGCTTAGGACTTTGGGTTTTTTGGTTTGGGACTTTGGTTTTTTGGTTTAGGACTTTAGTTTTTTTGGTTTAGGACTTTGGTTTTTTTGGTTTAGGACTTTGGTTTTAGGGTTGAGGGCCTGAGGGTCGGGTTAGGATAGGGACTATATACGGCAGAAGATGCCATGTTCATGGTTCCGGGCCTAGGTAACCCTGGTTACCATGGAGGTGGCCATCACATTGCCTCCCAGAGTGATGCGGATCCTTTCATTGTGTTGCGATTTGCTGCCAAACACTATGAGTGGGTGCGACGCGACCGCGCTGCTCTGGTGGAAATATGGACGCCGCTGCTGGCCAAACCGTAAGTGGGGCGGTCATGGGGACGTGAGCCCTGCCTCAGCTGCTGACCCTCCTCCGCCATGCTCCAGCTTCATGCATCGAATTCTTTGTGAATACGCTTTAGGGCTTTTCAGCCCAAGCCCGCAGAACCCAAGCGGTCGCCAACTTCCTGCGATGTTGAAGTTCATACCCAAGCCGTGAATCTAAAGCTTTAAACTGCCTTAACCTTAAGCCCAGAACGGCAACACGATAACTCCAAAGCCCTGAAAGTAAGCCGTGAACCGAGGTGCTGCCTGAGACGAACTCAGCCCGGAATATCATCTTCCCGGCGCCGAAGTGGGAGTGGAGGCCAGTTCCGTCGTCTCATCCAGAGCATCTGCGAGCCGCAAGCACACATGCATGAACAAATGCATACATCAAACACTTGCGAACACAAAATCATGCACATGTCTGTATGTATATGTATGTATGCATGTATGCATGCACCATGCACCTATGCACGTAGGTGCGTATGTACGTATGTATGTGTATGCATGTATGCATGTAAGCATGTATGTATCTATGTAGGTAGGTATGTATGTATGCGACTGTAGCATATATGTATGTGTGTATGTATGCATGGGTGTATGTGAGTTATGCATGTGTGTTTGCAGGTATTATGTATGTCTGTATGTATGTATGTATGTCTGTAAGTATTTATGTATGTATGAATGTATGTTTGTGTGTATGTGTGCATGTGTGTGATTGTATGACTGTTTGTTTTTGTTTTTGTTTTTTTTGGTGTTTGTTTGCTTGCTTGCTTGTTTGTTTGCCTGATTGTGTGCGTGTATGCTTTTTGTGTTGTGTTTGTGTCTGTGTGCTTGTGTGTATGTGCATGTGTATGTCTATGTAGATGACACGCACATGTAACTGCAGATGTATATGTCGTTTATGCATGTGTATACATTTGTATATGCACATGTATCTGTTTTTGATGTATATGTGTCTGTATCTGTACGTGTGTTTGCGTACACCTATGCATATGTGTATGTGTATGCGTCAGTGTATGTGTATGTGTGCATGCACGTTGACATGTATGTGTAAGGGTATGGGCATGGGATGGTATGGGTATGTGTCTTTGTGTAGTGTATGTGTATGTTTATGTGTGTGTTTATGTATGTCTGTATGTACGAAGCCTGATGACTAGCAAAGCACACCCGGCAGGTACGAAGTACTTTTTCCCTCTCACCTACCCTACTCAGTTCTCTCACCCTCATCATGCCTTGATCGTTTTGATGCAATGCATCTAGAACCTGACAAACATGAGTTAGTTGACCTCCCTTAAAATCAAGTTCGTGTGTTCGTTGTTGCAGCGCCTGCCTGAAAATCGTGATCAGTTTCCGGAGTCAGGCGCCAGGGGCGTGGCTTCGCTTCTTGCCCGTCGTCCCTGCTTTCATACCTGCCACTGCCACAGCTCACATAACAAAAGCAAGACTGTCTTTTGTCAATGCCCCAGATCTTGCGAACACACAGAGACTTACAGAGTACACAGGTTTTGCAGGTTTGCAATAAATGAGAGGATCAAGAAGTATTTTTCGGTGTGTACTCCGAACTGTTGAAGTCGTAGCCGCGTCCTGTCGATCCACGCCAGTAGATGGGGGGAAGGTGCCGGGCAAGTCGTGTCAACCAGCGTTTACATGGGGTTTCGCTGCTCGCCTTCTATACGAAGTAACCCGGATGCAGGGAATTGCTGAACAACGATCCTTGTGAAATCGAACATGTACATGGGGAATGGCTATTTTGATGTGCTGTTTCGCCGTTCGGCTTCCATACGAAATACTCCCAACACAGGGATTTGCTGAACAACGATCCTTGTGAAACCGAGCGTTTACATGGGGAATTGCTGTTCTGATGTGCTGTTTCGCTGTCCGGCTTCTACACGAAGTTGCCCGAAAGCAGGGATTTGCTGAACAACGATCCCTGTGAAATCGAACGTTTCCATAGGGAATGGCTGTTCTGATGGGTTGTTTCGCTGCTCGGCTTCTATCCAAAGTAGCCCGCATACAAGGATTTGCTGAACACGCGTAAAGAGGCCGAAAGAAAGGGAAGGGCAAGTGTGTTGATCATGGAGGTTGGGGCTATCGTTCGGGGTATCGTACACGTATCATTCTGGGGTATCGTTCGGGTCTCCATAGACATGTTTTTTTTTGGTCAGGCACGCTGCAGCATGCTTAAGCGAAACTCTTTCTGTTTCAGGGTTCCGCCTCATGAGAAACCGCCACTAAACGAAAATCCGGATCAACAATGAAGTTGCTCTCGAAAGTCAACACTCGGTACGCGGGTTTGGGCTCCAAGCGGGTTGCAACATGGTGTTTCAAGTAATGATAATGTGTTCTTGGGGACCCGTCCAAAAAAGAGCTTATCTACTCCCACCTGTAGAAGTCGTTGCGTTCCGTTTCCGCGGCCAGCAGTACTTGGGGGAAGCCTTTTGGGGGGGTCGTTGCCTTTGGGTGTCCACTTGGTGTTTGACATGTTACAGTTGAACCGGAAAGTTAACCGTGTCTGGATGTCACAAACAAGAGTGGGGAAGAATTTCAGGAAGTTTGCCCAATCAGCGTGTAGTTGGGGGCAAGTATGTTACAACGTTCTACAGCTATTTTACGTATCTACCGACCCAGAGACTCCAAAATCCGTTAATTAAGGAATGCCCTTCAAATTATAAATCGGACCAGATAAAGGAACCCTAATAGATTCCTTAATGAAGGGTTTTGGAGTCTCTGAATACCCGAAAGGGGCCAAAAGTCTTCGCGTCTTACAGGTGTAGAGCCTTTGCAAACTTTTGTGTGGGAAGCAAAACGAGAAATCTTAACAAACAGCGTCCACACTCGGGAATTACATGTTCAACGTTTGATGACGTTTGAGATGGAACTTGTGATTTCGGGGCGTCACCTTCGTAAATCATTTTTTTCGTAGGTGTTGGATCGTGTTGTTTCAGTTGCGATGCCGGCGTCTAGTTGCGGAATAGGTTTGCGTTCGGAACACCGGTTGCCTGACAGTTCGAGCGTTTTCCTGGGAATGTCCTGTCGTTTTGGGTGTGCGGCTGTCTTCTTGTTTATAGCAATGACTTGTTATCAGGAAGCGTCTCGGTCACCCCGTTTGGCGCTGGAGATGCACACCTGCACCTCCGCATGGGAAGGGGAAAGCCTGGTTGTCGTGCATTGTGATGCCAAATAATCTGTGTCTGGAGTGGGTGCTTGGGAATGGCTGGTTGTGAAGTGCTGTGATTTTACTCTTCTTTGTCTTACGTGGGGAATGGCTGGTTGTCGTGCATTGTGATGCCAAATGATGTGTGTCTGGAGCGGGTGATTCTGAAATCGAGCGTCCACTTGGGGAACAAGGCGAATGTCATGACCTCCGCTTCGACTTTCCCATGCAAAAGTGCACTTGTTCTATATGGTTGAACCCGAGCATCTAGTTGCGGAAACGGCAGAATGTTATGGCTTCCCGGAAACGAGTCAGAACGCGCGTCTCCTTCGGGGAAAGGCTCCGGAGCTGCAGTTGTTATGTCTTGGGGGTCGGACGGTAATGAGGTACTCGTCCCTGCGCTCATATAAGTTAATGAAATATCAGCGTTTACATGGGGATTGTTTGCAAAAACTGTTGCACAAACACCTGCAAGCGACCGGTGCGACGGCATGATGTGACTAGCGTTTCCGTGGGGATTCGTAAGTTGCTGCGCCCTCACAATCCAATTTTTTCTTTGGATGTCGAGCGTTTACATGCGGGAAGTACATTGACGTGACTTTTTCTATTGGTTGACGGGCGGCGTTTCTTGGGGGAACCATATAAGGCCATAAAAAGTTGATGTGACCTCAACGCTTCTGAGTACTTCAAACAGTTTCGTGTATGGCGTGCCTAAGTGTTTGAAATGCGCCTTGCTGTGCTCCTTTGCGGCTTTGGGCGTATGAACGATTGAGCCGGCTTTGGATTGGTAAGGACCAAGCAAGCCCCCACCGGCTGAGAAATTCCACAGATTTGGCAGGCGTGGCTGCCCAAAGGAATTCCCAGACAATTCGGACAACTTCTCCTGCCAAGCAGAGGCGGGTTCAGGGCTTACTTAGGGTTTCAGGCTTAGGGCTTGGGGCTTAGGGCTTGGGGTGACCGATAAGCCCTAAGCACGGATTGAGGGTTGCAGAAAGTCAATGCTTGTGTTTGTATTACAGTATTCATTAACTGTTACTGTCTGCGTAGTATTGGCAAGATGGCGATGAAGGCCATGATGACGAAGATGATCATGATGATGGGACGTTTAAGTATAGGGATGTCCGAAGCAGCACTGTTGATTGTGGCGGTGGTGGTGGTGGTGGTGGAGGTGGTTGGGGTTGGGGTGGGTGTATGACGACAGCTGGTGTTTCTGCTGTTGCGCAGTTGTTCTACTGTCACGAAGGGATAGTAAGGGGAAATGAGCTGCGATGTTCCGCGTCTGCTTTAGCACCCCCGGATACGCAATACGACACGATCCACTCGAATGGCCTGAACCCAACACCCTGAACCGCTAACTCTAAACCCCAAACCCCCCCCCTAAAACCACAAAACGAGACATATGTCCGAAGATCTTACACCACGAAGCCCAAGTACTAATCCCAAAATCTAACCAGATCGTTTAGGGTTTAGGGTTTCAACGGTTTCAACAAAGACAAAGCAAACGGACCAGATCCCGGACGACCTGACCATCTACTTCGTGATCATCATTTGTACAGCCGTGCCGATCCTGGCAGTGGTCTGCCTCTACGTCGGGCGAGTGTAGCCTTGCTCGAAAATTGAGATTCGGGTTTTAGGGTTCGTAGAGTTTCGGTTGCATGGTTTGCTTTGGGGGGCGGGGCGTTTAGGGTTGAGGGGTTCAGGGTTTAGGGTTGAGGGCTTTAGGGTTAGGGCTTGTGATCTGGGGGTTCGAGGTGGACGTTGTGGCTTTCGGCCTTAGTTCTTGTTGGAGTGTAGGATTTACGTAGGCGTGTGGGGCCCGCGGCTCCGAATTCAGTTCGCTTTGTCTTAGTCTGAGGGTGAAGAAGAGATTCAGAATGTAGGATTTAAGACTGGGAGCTTGCGACCTTTGTTGTTTTTGTTCACCAGCTGAGCAGCGAGAGCGGCAAACAGGAGGAGAAAGGCCGGCCTGAGAAGAGGGAAGGCGGCATCGTGTTGAAAGAGGGCCCCTCCGCCCCCAAGCCGTACAAATGTGTGGGCTGCGGCCAGGCGTTCGGCACGGAGTATGCCTACTGGCAGCATTGGAAGGCCAAGCACGAAGGCAGCCACCTCCCGGGCCCTGAGAAGCCGAGACGTGGGGCCTCTCGAGTGAGCTCACCCGCCAAACCCTAAGCCCTAAACCCCAAACCCTCAGCCCTAAACCTTAAATCCGAAGTCGGAGATCTCCAAACTCTAAGACCCCAAACCTGTTTGGAAGAATCCTTGAAGGAATCTCTATGCCCTAAACTAATCTGTACTCGAACCATCAACCTAGTCTAGTGGTCTTGGTCTGAATGGCCCTATATTATTCTAGCGCCCCTTTCTGAACCCTGATTCCTCAAACCCTAAACCCTAAAAAAAAAACCCTAAACCCTAAACCATAACGGCGGCTTGCGCCCTTAGGTCGCACAACGTTCTTCGGAAGCGACGGGCCAAGTACATCGACCATTGGGTGCCTCGACAGGATGGATGGCTTGAATCTATAGTCTCCTTAGGAATGTTTGTTTTTAATTTTTGTTCATATAAAACCCAAGAGAATATTGAATATGAAAATAAGTTGATTATTATGGTTCTAAGGGGGTGTATAGGAGTAGGGTCTGTCAGGGTTCTGTGAGGGTTCTGAGCTTTAAAGGTGGCCCTCACAAACATCGGCAATCCTGAACCCCAATTCCAAAGCAAGTTTGATGATCAAGGTGTGGTTGCGTTTAGATTTCATTTTTAGCTCAAAGCCCTCGTTCAACAAAGCCGTCAAAACCTCTTTCAAACCGCACACAACAGCGCCACTGTTTACCCATAATAAGGAACATGCCATAGTTCCCATAGTTCAGGGTCCTTAAGGTAATGCAGGATTTAGCTCATCAACCGTATGTTCGCATGTTTTGCATTCTGGGCCCATTGAGACTTCGAGGTTGTCGGTGTGGGACTTCGGGGGGCAGGACCCCCATTAACCTCAGCACTCAGACATCATCGGTAAAAGAATGAGGAACCCTAAACCCCTAAACCCTAAACTTCCAAACCCTAAACTCCTAAACCCCCAAACTTTTGCGCGATTCTCGGAGGTCGCTCTGGGCCCACATTTCCAAGCGCAAAGGAGCGCAATGCACAACGCGTCAACCCCCAAGTCTCAAGCCGAAAGGCCTGAATCTGAAACTATCCCCGCAGTATGAGAAGCCTAGTAGTGCCCATAGGCCCCAAAGTAGTTCCTTTTGGGGATTACCCTTATAGGATTCTACATAAGAACCCCTAGAAGGAACTGCTTTGGGGCCTTAGGGTAGAGTAGGTAACCTTTCACCTTTGGGGTCGTACAAAGTCCCTATATGCCCCTTTTTTTCCCAAAAAGGTTAACCCGTAGTCCTCCATGATACCCGACAAGTAGGGAAGATGGTGGACCATGACCATGACATCGGCCTTGCACAGCAGGGTCATCCTTCCAAAGAAGCTCAAATAGCTGAAATCCTCGTACCGGGACTCGAAATAGTTCGTCCTGCTCGGCTGTTTCTGAGCGCAGCCACGAAGATCCTAGATCCACACAACCCCTGGCATCTTTCTACATCCCCAAACACTGAACCCAAAATCCTCAGAGCCCGGGTTATAAGTCCCCTAATATGGGTTTTAAGTTATAGATATAGTTACCCTACTCATAGCCCTACTTATAAACACTGTAGTTCGTCATCCTGGAACCCCCTGAACCCAAAATCCTCACAGCCACTAGTTATCATCCTCGAACCCTCAAAGCCCCTAGTTCATAATTACAAGTCCAAGCCTTGGCTCGACTATCTTGGTTCCCAATCACCGGAGCCCTCAATTCTGAACAGCTTCTACGCTTCCAACTTGGGGTTCTTCTGGTTGGCTTTTAGGATTTTAACTTGGGCTATTTATATGAACTTTAATAAGGAGGCGGAAAGTTTAAATTTTAGGATGGGTTCAGAAGTCAGCCAAGTAAACCTCAATACCAAACCAAGCCCGGTGAGGTCAGCCTCTTAGAGGCAGCACTCTGGGTGCGCACCGGCGAAGTTTGAGCTCCGTGTCGGCCCGGGGGGGTTTAGGGGTTAGGGTTCGTCCGTGTATGTGTGCGTGCGGGCGGGCGTGGGTGTGTGGGTGTGTGTGTGTGTGTGTGCACTCCTACTCCTACTCCTACTCCTACGAATTACTACTACTACTACTACTACTACTACTACTACTACTACTACTACTACTACTACTACTACTAGTACTACTACTGACTCCTACTTACTACTACTATTATTACTACTACTACTACTACTACTACTACTACTACTACTACTACTACTACTACTAGTACTACTACTACTACTACTACTTCTATTACTACTACTTACTTCTACTACTACTGTTTACTACTACTACTACTACTACTACTACTACTACTACTACTACTACTACTACTACTACTACTACTACTACTACTACTACTACTACTACACTTACCACTACGAAGTATTCTACGCCCTACGACCACCAGCACCACAGCGACTGCGACGATTACAGTAATAACTCGTTTCGCTGCACTCCTGCTGCTATTGTTGCTAGAGTTAGTTTTTATTGTGCCGTCGTTGTAATCGTTGCTTTTCTTGGCAGAATAAACGTGGAATTTAGAATAGCCGTTTCCTTAAGAGTAGTAGCATCCCATGGGAGCTTTGCTCATGTTGTCCTTGTCTTTGTTGTTGCTGTTACTCCTGGCACTTTAACCGCGAGCCGCAGAGTTTGCTGTTCCCAAGCGCAGGGTGCCATTTAGAATTTCTTCACGGAGGAGTCTCAACCACTAGTAGTATGATTCTTGAAGCAAGTTCCCCGAGGCTACCTTTGCTAGTGTTTCAGGGCATTGCTGGGAAGTCTGCTTTGTTGTTACCATTTTGGGACGACGGTTACAAGTGCGACGCATATGTCCATCACCGTGGAAGTTGGGCTGCTCAGTGGCAGGACAGCCACTGTAAAAGGTGCCGTGGATGAACCCATTGAAGCGTTGAGGCTTCGTGCACAGGCTGCACTCGGAGTTGGGAGTGGGCGGCTGGTAGACTCATTCGGAGCCGTGCTAGATGGAGCTGCGCCGATCAAAGATGTTAAGGTGCAGAACGGTGATCCACTGACCTTTCAAATAAGTAAAGTGCAGGCATGCAGCACCAGAAGGTCTTTTGCTGCCATTCTTGGCGATGCAACTGTGGTGACCTGGGGTGATATGTGGGGTCGCAGTCTTCGGCATCGGCTGAAGACTGTGCATAGCATCAAGTGCTCCAGAAAGGCTTTTGCTGCGATTCTTGCAGATGGATCCGTGGTGACGTGGGGTGATTCCGCGTGTGGTGGCGATCCGTCTGTCCTCTTCATTGGTGCTGGCATTCCTGGCGACAGCTCGCGTGGAGTGTCAGACCAGCTGAAGAACGTCAAGCAGATCCAAGCCTCCGGCAGTGCTTTTGCTGCCATTCGTGGCGATGGAACTGTTGTGACGTGGGGTCTAAGTGTTTTTGGAGCAGACAGCGATGCTGTTCAGGATAAGCTGAAGGATGTGCAGCAGATCCAAGCCTCGGAAGGTGCTTTCGCGGCCATTCTTCGTGACGGAGCTGTCGTCAGCTGGGGTGGGGCAGGCTGTGGCGGTGACTGCAGTCACGTGCAGGAACAGCTTCAGCATGTGCAGCAGATACAAGCCAGTGCCGGCGCTTTTGCTGCCATTCGTGCCGATGGAACTGTCGTGACCTGGGGTGATTCTGGGAGCGGGGCTGATAGCAGTTCTTTGCGAGAGAAGCTGAACAGTGTGAAGCAGATCCAGAGCTCTGAGAGAGCTTTTGCTGCAATTCTTGCTGATGGAGATGTCTTGACCTGGGGTCATGCTGACCATGGTGGTGACAGTGGAGCTATAAAACACTTGTTGAAGAATGTGCAGCAGATCCAGGCATCTGACAGGGCTTTTGCGGCCATCCTCGGTGACGGAACTGTCGTGAGCTGGGGTCATCCTGACGCAGGCGGTGACAGCACTGCTGTCAAGGAGCGGCTGAAGAATGTGCAGCAAATCCAAGCGTCCCGTGCAGCTTTTGCTGCCATTCTCGGTGATGGAACTGTGGTGACTTGGGGTCATGTTGACCATGGTGGCGACAGTGGAGCTGTACAGCACCTGCTGAAAGATGTGCAGCAGATCCAGGCATCTGACAGGGCTTTTGCGGCCATCCTTGGTGACGGAGCTGTCGTGAGCTGGGGTCATCCTGACGCAGGCGGTGACAGCAGTGCTGTGCAGGATCAGCTAAAGACTGTCGAGCAGATCCAGGCTTCTGGCAGCGCCTTTGCTGCTTTTCTTGCGGATGGCGCTCTCGTGACCTGGGGTGATCCTAGGGCTGGAGGTGACTGCGGTGCTCTGCGGGATCTGCTCGGCAATCCACGGTAGAATTTCATTAGGGTCCTGTGATTCGTCATGGCCGGCTTGCCCTAGCCTGTGCTAGTTTGCAGGCACCAATATTCTCGTTCATGGTTGGGATAGGATTAAAATGCACAGTGTTATTCCTTATTGGATTTAAGTACCCAAAAAAAATGTAAAATGTTACCCAACTATGACAAAGTATTACTGATGACCGGGATGGAGACAGGTCAGCCACAGCAGGTGATGCTGAGCCTTGTTCTTGTCCCTTCGCGGAGTGCAGCTGGAGAACCAGGGTGGTAGAAAAGTGTCAGCAAACAGAAGACCGCAGAATACAACCTTTCATCTTGAATCGGAAGCTCAATATGCAGACCTTTTCATAAGATATCTCCATTTTCTGAAACCCGGTGCTGTTTGCCTCGTCACTACAAGTTGTGATCAACACTTGTGCCCTAGCCAAGCTGTGGCCTACAAAAAATCAAGACCCTCAGTGCCGGTTACCGGCAAGTAACATCAGTGCCCAAGCCTCTGGTCATCACTAAACCCTAATACAAAATCATGAGCTCCCAATCCCTGAACCCTAATCCCCCTAAACCCTAAACCTTGAGCGGAAAGGTGCGATGCCCCAAACCCCTAAACCATACACCCTAGACTAAACCCCTAAACCCTAAACGCCTAAACCCCAAACCCTAAACCCTAAATCCCCAAACCCTAAACCCTAAGATGCCAGGATCAGGATGAGGAAGCCGTCAAGAAGGCAGAGACTGCGCTGCGCCCCTTGACTTGCATTCGAGGTTGAGGTTTTAGGGTTTTGGGTTTAGGGTTTTGGGTTTATGTTTTAGGGTTTAGGGTTAGTAGGCCTTAGGGAACTAGGGTTCAGGGTATATTATAGGCTTAAGCTAGAAGTTACTACTATAACCGATGTACTGTGTTCTAAGGTCGAGGATTAGTGGTGCTTGTATCTGTCGTGCCAGCGTCCAGGTGTCTTTGATGCCCATAAGGCAGAGTTGAACACAGGGCGGGGCGGGGCTCTTGCAGAGGAGCTTGGTCGCCTTGGAGACATCATATACTAACAGAAAATTCACACAATCGCACGAATAAGACCAAGAGTGAACATGTAAGCGGCAAAATCCTGCCAATCCCTCACCTAAACCCGGACGTCAGGTATACGCCTGCAGGGGCTTGAATCCTGGGAAGACCAAAGCCTTAAACCCCTCTCTCAGCCCCTTCTCATGTGAAGCCGGAACCCTAAATCCTAAATCAAAACTCCCTACACCCTAAACCCTCAATTCAAACTCGGAGCTCGAGGCGGCTACAAGAGCAGCTGGATTTGGGGGAAGAATCCTCGCATCGACACGAGCGAGCTGCGTCGGGACAGAAGGGGGCGGGGGGTGGCCTTTGAGGGATCGGCTAAGGGATCCATAGGCAATAGGGTCTCCTTTAAGGGCTCCTTTTGAGTGTTGCTTTGAAGGGTTCCTGTAGGGGTTCAATGCAATGTTTAGGGTCTAATTGGAAGTTTGTTTTGGTGAGGGTGTGCTCGGAGAATCCTGAACCCGAAACCCTTGGGACGCAAGGAGGCAGCCTACAGAGAGGATTGAGGAATGCCCAGTGTGTTGTGTGATGTTTTAAGTGTTTGGCCGGGGCTACTTGAAAGCATTTGTTCAAAGTCTTCGTCGTTGAGTAAATCTTCGCAACCCTGTTTCGGGTAATGTAGTCCGTATACTCTATACTATATACAATCCCCAGAGGATAACCATAGGTTCCCAAAAGAAACTGGACAGCTAGGATGTATGGCACAGAGTCTCGGGGAATTCGGTGTTTCTGCGGTTTAGTGCTGAGGGCGTTTACACAAACGTTGGCTCTGCAGGCGATTGAGTTCAGCAGTTGTTTCGTAGTCACGAAGACCTGGACATACGTAAATGTACGTGGGATATTGGTGCCTGCATGCATGAGACAGCTCGACAGAGAGGCCGGTGCGCACACAGGCTTCAGCACAGGAAGATACGCAAAGACGCAAGGACAGCCAGGCAGACAGACGGACCGATTGAATGACTGATGGTTTGATTGATTGACTGCCAGACTCGCTGTGATTGATTGATTGATGGATGGATTTATTGACTGGCTGATTGATTGGTTGATTCATTGACTCATTGGTTGATGGGTTGGTTTGCTGTTTGCTTGGTTAGTTGATGTGTGGATGTGCTCAATGGTTATAAAGATAGTTAGACAGACAGGCAGATCGATTAATCGCACATACATCTAACTGCACACATACATACATGCATACATACATACATACGTACATACCTACATACATATGTACGTTAATGTATGTAGTGTATATATTGTATGTGTTCATATATATATATATATATATATGTATATATATATACACATTACACTACACATTTATACATGCATGCATACATACATACATGTACATAAGTCTGAAGATGTCTCTAGGCATTTACGAACAGACAGAGCAGGTATATGTGATATCGTGTTTCTCCGCATCTAACTCACCAGTGTATGCATATATAAGGACCCATATAAGGAACCAATACACACACACACACACATATATATATATATATATATATATATAGATACATATATACATATGCATACACACATACATACTTACATACATACTTACTTACTTACATATGTACATACATATATATATATATATACACACACACACGCTTGAAATATCAGGGTCTCTTGTAGCTACACTCTTATTTGCATGTTGCCACATACAGAAGCCGGATCCCAAAAGCCCAAACCCTAATGCCCAAAGCCCGTTATGGGGGATACTTCCCGAAGGCATACTAGTAATTCCGAACGCGGAAACCCTACATCTGCATTCTACTGTATCGGTCCATAGAACCCTTTGGGAACAGGAGCAGAGTCTGCAAGCTGGGGTCAGCGTGGCGTACCTGATTTCGGACGAATTCCTCGACACGGCGTGACTTGGTCGTGGAGATTGGGTTCAGGGTGTAGGACAGTGTAGGATAAACTCTGTTTGGGTTTAGCATTGCCTAGTTGTTGCGGCTTTGGGGTTTAGGATATACATAAATATGTATGTCAATGTAGGGTAGAGGTCATGCCTGACTAGAAACGATACCCGTAATAGTCCCAATACACTGCGCCATCCGGCAAAATTAAACGACTACGGCCTTAAACCCTTACCCCTAACCCCTAAACCCTATATAACCCCCACCCCCCAACCCCTAACCCCTAAACCCTAAACCACCACGACCTCGGTCCAGGTAGTATCCCCTGGGCTGAGAAACTTCCAGTCAAGGGTTCAAGGGTTTGAGGTCACAAGTCTCAAAGGGCTTAGGGTTTCGAGTTTAGGGCTTGAGTTTTAGGGTTTCAGGGTTTGAGGTGAGGTCACAGGTCTCAAAGAGCTAACCCTGAGGCTCTAAGGACTCATATTATATTATAAGGCTTTCGGGCCCAAAGGCCATACTAAAGAAAGGCTTTTGAGCTATTTTGAGCCTTGGGGTAAGGGTTTCGAGTGTAGGGTTTAGGATGAAGGTAGGTGGGGTAATCCCAAAATGAGAGTCCTTACATGAGGGATCCTAAGCCCTACCTACCTTCATCCCACTTCTGAGGGTTTAGGGTTTAGGGGTTTAGGGGTTTAGGGTTTAGGGTTTAGAGTTTTGTTAGGTTTATGGCTTACAGGGATTTAGGGTTGGAGTTTAGGGCTTCGACTCTTCGGCGTGTGACCTGTGAAAAGTTTTCTACATGCTCAAACCCAGTCGATGTTTGCGATACCTTGGGTTGTTGTTGTTGTGTTGTTGTTGCTGCTGCTACTACTACTACTACTACTACTACTACTACTACTACTACTACTACTACTACTACTGGCTTCCTTACTACTGTTACTTTTCTAGTAGTTTGGAACCAGTGGCTGCACAGCATTTGGTGGGATTCTTCCATCGCTGCCTTTTTAGCAGTCTACTTGGAGGGTCGGGGGACTTAGTAAGTATGTAGTAAGTAGACTTATAAGTACCTTAAAAGGGACCCTAATTGGGGTTCTGGTACTTATATGCCCCTAAAATAACCAGTTACTAAGTCCGCTGGCCCTCCAAGTAACACTTCCGAGTTGGTGCTCCTTGCTGCACCTGGCTCAGGCTTTGGCTTCGGAAAAGCCTGGCAGCTCACTCCCTAAACCCTAAACCCTTTAACCCTAAACCCCAGTTTAGGGTTTGGGATTTAGGGTTGGCCTCACCCTGCGGCTTTGTGCCCCGCAGGGTCTAAGTACCCCTGCAATGGTTCTGTTTTGCCCGATATGTGAGTGTTGCTCGGATTTGTTTATTATTTTCTGTAACTAGGTATATATGGCATAAACAGGAGGTTGTATTGACAATGTGTTTTTTTATGTTGGCCCAAAGATGAGGCTTATAGGTAACACGATATTGGCACTTAGACGATTTGGAGGTCTAGCCTCAAGGCCCTAAACCCTAATCCGCATCACGTTATTTCTGTACCAAGGCTGCAAGCGACTGGCATGAAGGCTGCGAGCCAAGAGGGCTTGAGTAGTCGGCTTGGACTTTTTAGGGATTATGGTGTAGGGCCTTTAGGGATTATGGTTTAGGGCCTCTAGGGGTTTGGGGCTTAATATAGGGGCCTTAATGCTTACCTACACTATTTTGGGGGTTCCTTATCACAACTTTAGTGTACAGGGCCCTAAGTTCTAATTATTAAGGCCTCCGTGTTAAGGTGTGGGACCGGGTCTCTGGCATTGGAGGTGGGGTTTGGGACCGCAAAGTCAGGAACCTGGTGGAGAAGACCCCTCGTTCTAAGTCCTACGAAAGCCCTGAACCCTAAAGCCCTAAACTTAGGTGCGGCCCCCATACAGTAAGAGTCTATAATCGGGCTACTATTAAGGTCCTACTATCTCTATATCATGAATACTATTCAACTATTACTGAGTGGGGGCCGTACCCAACCGTAAACCCTCAAACCCTGACCATAGAATGGTTTAACAACGCGGATTGCGGACATCATTGCCCTAACTGCCTCACGTGGTGGATGGGAAGCGCCAGCACTGGCCTCACATAGCAGCAGTGGTTAGCAGAACAGAACAGTACGTTACATTTCAGATTGAAGTTTCGACGGGTGTTGTGGCAACGGTCATCCTAGCAACGCGCGGCAGAGCCGGATATCCTGCAGAAGGCGAGCCGTGCCTCACATGCTCAAAATTATAGGAGAACGAGGCGTATTATGTGCCTTACGCAAAGCGAGTGGATGAGGAAACTGAAAGTCCACACTAATTTGGGCTCATGAACTCATCAACTGAGATAAGGTTCTAAGTAGCTTAAGTCAGCTTATGCTGATCATAACAAGTAATGCCTTGCTTACCAATTCTGAATCTTTCAGGATGCCAAAAAGGAAGTATCAGTTCTCCCCGAGGCTCCGGAAATCAACACACAACCACAAGCTACTGTAGCCATCTGTAACCTTCAGCCCGTCCGGCTGCAACGTACTTCCCCAGTCCCTTTATCCCTACCGTATGTTTTATTCTGTTGCGTTTTGCTTCTCTTCCTGTTTGTCTCCTTGTTCTGAGCTCCAAACCCTAAAACCCTTCACCGCTAACACACCAAAGCCGTAAACCGCATACACCCCAGCCCTAACCCCTTCAATCCCCGAAGCCCTACGTCTAAAGCCGAAACCCTGAACCCCAAACCAGAAACCCTGGGCCAAAAGCCCCAAAATAGTAGGATTCATATAAGGAACCTAATAAAGGCCCAAGGTTTCTTAATCAAGCTCCTAGATTATTATAGTACACTTATAGATCCCTTATAGTAACCCTTATAGACCCCTTTAAAGGAACCCTTAGGCCTTAGGCCTCAAATCCCTAACCCTGAACCTTTAGCATCTGGACCAGGATCCGACCTTCCACGACCTGAAGCAAGCCTTCTTTATGGGTGTCTTGTCTAATATAGGGCCGAAATAATTACCTATATATATATATATATATATTTCTTTTTGTTTTTTTTTTTTAGGGGGGGGGGGTACCTTATTATCACTATAATATAATCGGCCGCCAAACCCTATTCTAACTATTAATCTATATTATGTAGGGCTTTGGGACATTTTATGTTTGCTTTTATTGGGCTTAAGTGGATCTTACCTACTAACATTCTTCAAAGGTCTTAAAGGCACATTCATCATCAAGCCTGGGGTTTAGGACTTAGGCCTTACGTAGGCCCTCAGGGTCATCTGTACTTGACAGATGCATACCGATACATGTATACATACACGTATGCACATCTATATACTTTATTTATATGTGCGAACATATACACGTACCTTATGTGCATATAAGTATACATATATATGTATTTATATACAGACATGTGTATAGTGGTCTCTCTCTCCTCTCCCTCTGTCTCTCTTTGTTTGGGTGTTCCGTTTTTTTTGGGGGGAGGGGGGGCCGGTTCGGCCTTAGGGTTTGTGCCGGTTTAAGCTGCTGGTGCTGACTTTGCTGCTGTGCACTGCGGTTTGGGTAATTTTATTGTTATGACTGGATAAACGATGACTCTTACTACTTGCTGTTGCCGCCGTTCGCTTCCTCAGCAGCGATACCTAAAAGGGAGTTTCCGTACACAAGAGGGGTTTACGTTAGAGTTGAGGGTTGATGGGCGAGAGATTAAAGTTGGAAGGAGGGATGAGTTACGGGCCCTATACTTTATGGCCGAAGCTGCATTAAGAGTGACAGGAAACGACGACCAAAGGGGAAGCTTCGTTGCCGAACTCAGCGAGGACATGACCGACGAACACGGAGAACAATGGGATTTCAGGCGAGTCATGAACCACAACCGGCGAGTGCAAGAAGGGATCGAATGGTGGGTGACGCACTTCGCATCCAGCTGAGGCAGGAGTGCCTCAAGAGAGCAGATGGAGTATGGAAAGCTTCATCCCCTACATATTCCTTGAAGCCTAAGGGCCACACTGTTGGGAGAGTATATGATTGTTAGGTACTTGGACCCTTATGGTCAGCTCAATAGCCTCAAGATCCCTGAGCTGGAGCCCTCAAACGTGCCAGCCAGTGGTCCCATGGCTGAATACATTGAGTTACATGGACCGAATAGACGGGCGCATAGGATTTCCTTCGAATCTTCAATTTAAATACATCCGCTTCATTAGTCTGCTCCGTTCCTGCTCGTTGAACTTGCAATGTTGAGCTGTCGGTCCTGCTTACTTGTACTGATGCCTGTCGATCGTATATAGGCAGCGTCGCCGTCTACTGTGCACATACATACATACGTACAAACGTACATACATACTCACATGCATACATGCATGCATACATGCATACGTACATGCATACAAACATGCATGCATACATACATAAAGATGTATATGCATATGTACACGCACATATGCACGTGTATATATATATATATATATATATATATATATATATATGTGCGTCTGTATATATACACACATGTATGTCTATCAACGCATCCACATACGCATGCGTGGACATTCATATACATACACGTATATAGAAATGCAGACAGTGTTACACGTATGCATTCCCGCGCATGCATGCACGCATACATACGAACCTACCAACCTGCATGCCTACATACGTACAGGCACACGTGCGCCAATTATACATGTATAGTTACATGCATGCAGGCATTCATGCATACATGCAGACATACATACATAATTGTTGCACACCCGTGGGTGTCAACACATCCATTGCTTGATGTTTCTTTGTCTTGCCACTGTAACGGACCGAGGAGAGCGGAAAGTTGGTGCAGGCAAGATTTGCCCGCGAGATGGGCTGCTTAGATGCAAAGAAATTGCGTGATCACACCCAGGGTTCAAAGTCCGGGGTCCGCTGCTCGCTAAACCGACAGCATGCTCGGCGAATTGATTTCAGTGTCTCCGTCTCATATAGTGGGGTGGCCTCGTCTGTAAATAGGTTTTGCCGCTCCTCCTCCTTCCGCCACTTTGCCAGCGGGGCTACTTCGTTGAGACACCTAACGATTTAGCCCGATGAGCTTTGACACAAATTAGTGCTTTTCGTGAGCTCCTTAGTACAAGCTGACACAAACTGTCTTTCCAAAGCCCATTCGTTATACCAGCGCTATGCCGACACATACACATCCACCCGGACCCACTTTGCGAAAAAATATCCATGCCTACAGCTCCGCATCTTCGTAAGCCCCCAAATGGGAGTTTCCGAAAATAGGGGACCCGAAATAGTAGGATCCTTATTATAAGGACCCCAAAATAAGGTACCGCTAATTTTCGGAAACTCCCAAATCTCAAGTCCCTGAACCATTAAACACTATAAGCCCTAACACCAACTCTCCATTCCTAAACCCTAAGCCCTACAGTTAGCCCAAATCTCAAGAGATGTCTTCGAGGAGACTTGGCGTGTCGCTGATCGACACGTTGCCAAGGCAAGCTTCAGGGATTGGGTCCGTCATGTTTGCGGCTTAAGGCAATTACTATTACGGGTACTATGAAGGTACCATAAGGGTTAACGGTACTATAAGTTAAGTGCCTAATGCGTGCACTAGAAGTAAGGGTTACAGGCCCTCTAAGGGTACCGCAAAGGCGCTGTGAGGGCTAAGGGTAGTATATAGGCTTGGTAGCTGAGTGGATACACTTTACACTTTGGGGGATAATTTTACCCACTATAAAACTGAAAGTGTAGGGGCTTATGAACCCAGCAACCAAGTAGGTACTATTGAGGGTACTGCACATAGTTTGGGGCGGCTTTATGCGGGTTCGGCCCAGGATTGAGTGCACGGGTTAATTCACGGAGGTTTAGGGTTTAAGGTAAGCAGTAAACATGCACTAGTCTGGCGATGAGAATAGGGCTTTGGTACCTGCCCCAGAACCCCGGGAGGATCGAAAAAGGTAGATCCCTTAATGGGGGTTCCTTTCAAGTACCCTTGGTTGTATAGGGCCCCAAATTAGGGGATCTACTTTCTGGATCCTCCCGTGGGTCTGGGTGGTGGTTTTGGGGTTTAGAGCGATGGCGAGGCATTGGGGGCCGGATGGGAGGTTCGGGTCTGCGGCGTCTGTAGGTTCGCTCGGATCTATGGAATGCGAGCTGACCGCCTGCATCAAGCTTTCCAAGATTAATATGGGGGCATAAATAGTTAATTACCAATGGTGTTTTGGTGGCTCCTTTGTATCGTTATAGTATGACGGGCCCCAAAACCCTATTCTAAGACATTAAGGTCCTGATATTACCGGCGATGTCACAATGTCGCGTGGCTAGTCCTGATCGTGTTGATGAGTGGGCGACGCCGGCCGGGAAGCTCACAGGCTGCGAGACAGCTCATGATGTTGTTGGCCTCCCTGAAGCGTTTTCGTTGGCTTTCCCTTTTTGTTTTGTAAAAGACGATTTGATGCATCTCTTCGCTGCTTCAGAAGCGGGAAGTTTGCAACCTGTTAACAAAGCGGCTATGATTTTTTCTGTTTTCCGACGTCCGGAAAGAGCCAGAGACGTAATGCTCATGCCGGCATGTGCCGGTCTTCAGGAGTAACATCAGCGCGGCTGGTTACCACCCAGCAAGCATCATGAGTGTCACATGCCACGCCCTTGATTCAGAGCCCTCCACCCCAACCCCGGTGGTGAACACCGGCTGCCCTGGCTGCCCTGCACTTCGAACCGGTGTCTCCAGAAAGAGCATCGTCGATTCATGGTCATCATCATCATCATCAGCATGATCATCATCATAATCACCATCATCCTCTGCCTCCCTGCCTCCCTTCCTCCTTACGTCCTGCCTTCGTTCCTCCTCCTCCTCCTCCTCCTCAATCATGACCTGCTTGTCAGCCTCTTGAGTCAGTGTCAGAAGCCACGACCCTTGCAAGACATTGCCCAGACAACGAACTGGCAGCAAGACCTAGATTTTTCAGATGCGGTTCTCCACATTCGGCTTTTTTTTGATGAACGAAACCTTGACACAGGGGAGAGGCGCTGGGCGCCTGAAATTTTCGAGTTTCACAAAACAGCTCAGGGTTGAGGGACCCTGCTCATCCCGGGTCCCTGAACATTTCTTGCATTAAAGGGGCTTGTCGTGGCTACGGTATACTGAGTTCCTGGCTGATCTGCCGACTGAGCAGGCAGCACCGACAGAAGTGCACTCACTTCCTCTCCTGGTCGTGGGCATACACCGTCAGGCGCGGGGCTAGAAGCCTTGTGAACTTTACTTGTGGCTGGTTGGAGATTTCGAGTGTACTTCGGGTTAAGGGTTTAGGGTCCGGACACACGCGGCTTGGTTCGCACTAAAACATCTACACCTTAAGGACGATATGAACCCCAAAAGGGTTTAAGGTTCATATACCATATAGGGATTCATAGTATATGGGTATAGGGCCCCTTACTTTTAAGGGTCATTGGGTCCTTGAGGCAGAGCTCCTTTAGTTGTTCGATCCAGGCATTTATGCGGTTTGTACACTGCTCGAAGGGGTTCAGTTCTGACTTCCACCTGCTTTTGCATTGGCAAATTGGGGTTTAGCGTTTAGGGTGTTAGGGGCTTTCGGGTCTGGGGTTCCTGCTATTCTTGCTCAAGCACTGCGATCTCTAGAAAACGCTTCGTCCGGACTCCCGGAAGATAGTTGGCTTCAGGGTCTCCTCCCCCTCAAGAGTAAGCCCTATAAACCCTAAACCCTTGGTAGTAGTATTACTAAGGTGCTACTGGGGAATTTAGTAAGCCCTATGAACCCTAAACCCTTAGTATTAGTACTACTAAGGTGCTATTGGGGAATCTAGTAAGCCCTAAACCCTAAACCCTGCTTATTAGCATTACGAAGGTGCTACTGGGGAGGCTAGTCAGGCAGGTTCATGTCACCTAAGCTCTACACCGCACTCTCCCAACCACTCCTCGAATGGTAGGGACCTGGAAGTCTCAAAACGAAGAGCTCGGCGCTTCCTCAACATCATGATTAGTGTCGTGTTTATTGCTGTTCGTGTTAAGTTTTTAAAATTACAGCAGCAATAGTTTCATCATTCTTCTGATTGTTCCTGGTAGTATTTTGATGAGAAGCTGTCTACAGGCTCCAATGTCAGCTGGTTCGTGGGCGGCTAGCCAGGTGCTTAGGACCAAGCCTCAATGCGATTAACCCCTAGATCTTAAATTCCTAAACCCTCAACCCTAAGCCCTAAACCCTAAACCCTGACCCCTAAACCCTGAGCCCTGAAGCCCTAACCTGAGCCGTAAACCCTAAATCCAAAGCAGCCCTCAGTTGCCAACTGCAGGCAAGTTCGAAGTGGTCTCGAGCTTTGGATTGAGCGAAGTGGCTTAGATCCAAGCTCCTTGGCGGTTTTCAGCTTTGGGTTCAGGGTTTAGGCTTTTGGGGGCTGTAGGGTTTGCGTTTATAAGTTATAGGGTCCAGGGTTTAGGGCTTTAGAGTGTTGTGGGGTCTAGGGTTTAGGGTTTCGTTTTTTGGGGGTCTAGGCTTTACGGTGTAGGGTCTAGGTTTTTTGGGGGTCTAGGCTTTAGGCTTATTGGGTTTAGGATTTTGCTGTTTTGGGTTATGCGTTGCAGCTTAGGCTCTCGAGGTCGGGAAGGGCTTAGGGGCTGGGATGTTTTCAGGGTCAGGGGCTGGGGTCGAGAAGTATGCACCCAAAAACCCTAAACCTTAAACCCCAAACCCCTAAACCCTAAACCCCTAAAGCCTATAAACTCCTAAGCCCCAAAACCCTAAACCCCTAAACCCTACAAACCCCAAACCCCTAAACCCTAAACCCTAAGCCCTTAACCTAAGGTAGATCTTGTTTAGATTAGCTGGGAGCCTTGCAGTTCAAGGTTCGGGCTCCTGGGCATCAGGGTTAGGTTCCCAGAGACCCGAATATCCCTTAATTAAGGAATATTCCCTAAATCATGTTAGGGATCCTATTATAATTTAAGGTATATTCCTTAATTAGGGGATATTGGAGTCTCTGGGTTCAGGGTGTGGGTCATGCCGCCCGCCTAGGAGCTTGAAAGCTTAGGATGCCCGGAAGTACCCTTATTCCTTTTTGTAGTCCTAGGTTCCTAGTTACCCAAAACCAAAAAGGGAGCCCTTCTTATTCCTAGGTTACCTGGCATCCTAGACACCTGGCGCATAAAATCCCTAAAGCCAAAGCCTGGAGTTGAAAACCCCGTGGTCTGCATATTAGCAAGTTCAGCTGACCTCAACCCTAAGTCCTAAACCCTGCAGGGTAGTATTCAGGACGTAGCAACGCCGAGAGCTTGAGGAGTTTAGGGTTTAGAGTGTGTTATTTAGAGTTCAGGGTTTGGGGTGTGTGGGGCTTCGGGTGTACTGTTTAGGGCTAGGGCTTAGGGGGGCTTTATGGATGCTGGTGCAACTGAGTGCCCTCCCGTCACCCTAGGGCACGAAGGTTCCAAGTGCGCGAGGATCTGACACCACTAAACTGGGTAGTTGTCAAAATTATGGCCTTTTTGGGTATCCTTAACATTAAGTGCCGTATTATAATCAGGATTAAAAAAGGGACCATAGTTTTAACCAGCCACTAATCTGTGCACCGTCAACCCTGCACAACGATAAACCTTCCTAAACCCAGAATATCAAAGGGGAAAAGGAGGGACCCTTAATGGGGACCCCTACCCTATAATGGGCTATATTATCGGTATGTAATAGCTATATTAAGGGTATATACCTAGGGGTCCTTATTAAGGGTCCCTCCTTTTACCCTTGGACCTTTAGCCTAAAACCCTAAAATCCTAAAACCCTAAACCCTAAACCCCTAAACCCTAAACCCCTAAACCCCTAAACCCTAAACCCCTAAACCCTAAACCCCTAAACCCCTAAACAACCCTTAAACCCCTAAACCTTCCTAAACCCTAGAACCCCTAAAATCGTATAGATCCCTTTTAGGAGCCCTTAAAAGAACCCTTATAGACCCCTGTAAAGGAAACCTAAACCCAGAATAACTTGAAACCCCGGACCGGCGAGGCCAGACCTTCTTGTTCATGTGCTTCTTCGTGAACAATCAGCACCGCCTCTTGGCAGAATCTCACTCATGTACTCATGTAACATATATATCTATATGTATATATCTATATATATATACATATACATGTATGTATATATATATATATGTGTGTATATATATATATATATATGTTGCCTTTCCAGCTTTCCGTCCCTGCATAGGTATTTCAGGGCCACAGCATATACCAGAGGTGCAAGGGCCCTTCGGGTTCCGCATCTTGTTTTATGGGCGTCCTCTGTGGCTTTCGAGGGGGTTGTGCTAGGGTTTAGGGTTTATGGTGCAAAGCAACCAGTCGATGGAGTTAGGGAGCTTGCAGTTAGTCTCCAAAATAGAACGGTTTAGGCTGTAGGGTTTAGGGGTTCTGGGTGTAGGGCTTAGGGATTGAAGCTTCAATAATTACCAATAATATTCGGGGGGGGGTGTGTTCCTTGCAATACTTCTAGATTCTAGTTTTAAGACAATCTAAGCCCAAAATCCTTGTCTAACGATCAAAGACCCGTATATCAGGTGCTTCTTTGGGGGGTTCAGACTCTCAGATCTCTTTCGTCAGCTCTGACGATAGAGAACTATGGGTTAGAAGCTGCCCCCACCCTGTAATAGTGACTATAAGGATTATATTAGGGCCCTATTATATTCCTATTATACCACGGCTTTGATGTCGGGTTGCTGCAGTACCATGGGCTCATGAAGTCTTTTGGGTTTGGAACTACTGCTGCATCCCAGGTCCACATGCCAGGTCCCTGAGTTTAATCTTTGAACCCTGAACTCTAATCCAAACCCTACACCCGAAACCGAAACCGAGGCCTCAGCCTACGACGCCACTTAGTCCCGAAACCCGAAACTACTTCGAGAGCCCAAGCCAAAATGCATGTGTGTGTACGTGTGTGTATATATATATACATAGATGCATCCATGTAGTATATATACAAAACACTGAGGCATTGTGGTCTCCGGGGATGCCACAGGAAGCGACGACCTAGACTCGATTTTTGAAGGCGGGGGGTCGCTCTAGCCCACGGAATTTTAGGGTTAGGGTTTAGGCTTTAGGGCTTAACGTCTAGGCATTTAGTGTTTTGTTGTGTCGGGTTTTGGCGCTCAAGGGTTTTTAGGGTTTGAGGTTTTTTGGGGTTAAGTGCGCCTCTGGGCATCGCGATTTGTGCCAGGTTTGGAGAACATGTTTCGAATATAATCTTAGTGATATTAGGCCTTGCAAGAAGTGGACATGATAATTATTCCATGTTGGTATCATATTCTGGACCTGTCCGAGTCTCTTTACGGAGTTGTCGTTTGGGTGTATTAAGTAGGGATATTGACAGCAGTTCACATAGACGCTCCCGGGGCGGGACGTGCAGGTGTAATCGAACATTTTGCAAGCAGAGCTCATGGGAAGTCTTCGACATCAGATAGTATACCACAACTATCATACTGTAATTATAATAAGGAGCGAACCCCCCCCCAAAAAAAAAATAAATAAAAGGAGAGGGTTGTGTGTTTGTTGGCCGAATTGTTTCCGAGTCCAGAGGGGTAAGCTAGCATGCTCGAGCCCCTAAACTCCTAAACCCTAAACCCTCCAAATATAGGGGGGTCAATTATTGCAATAGGGTCTTGGGCCCGAAACCCTAAGCAGCGGATTGAAGAGTTGGATGTGAGGGACTTCCTCCAAGGGATCCAGAGGTCCCTGAACGATCCCCAAAGATCTGTTGTAAATGTCGAAAGACCCCTTATCGATCCGTATAATTCTACCCTTTATAAGTCCCGACAGATCCCTTATAAATCCCTCTACGCCCCTTATAACTTATAAGCCCCTAAAGACCCTCTGAGACGGCACTTACTGCTAGAGATCCATCTCGCAAATGTGGAGCCCTTGGCCAACAAAGTCTAAGTCGCTAACTTGTAACCCTAAACCCTGCACCCAAATTCTAAACCCTACCTCATCGCCGGCCGAAAGCAGAAAGCTCGCCTTAAAGCCTACAGCCCTAACGGTGCTCATCCCCACCATCCCGAAGACCTTTTGTCCTGAAACAGAAAACACCTTGAAACCAGGCCCACTACTGCCCGAAAGCCTTACACACCTTGAAACCCTGACCTCCCAAACCCTGAAGCACGAAACCGAACAACCCACAACTACTATAGGGGCCTAGCTGATTTCCCACACTATTTTGGGGGGTTCGCTGTTACACAACATACCCCTCATCCCTATTCTGATTATAAGGTTCCTATGGTAAACTGCATCACCTGATTGCAACCCTCAGCCCATCCAACACCATTGCCAGGCAACCTCTGCCGCATTGGGCTACCTGCTCGCAAGACTCGCAAGTCAGCGGTGTAGTGTTTAGGGTTTCCAAGGTGTGAGGGTGTCAGGTTTAGGCTATCGGAGTGTAAACGTTTTTGTTGGTTCATATTCAGGGTTTGGGATTCGCAGTCTTCGGTGTAGAATTGTCTGGGGTTTGTTGATCCGTCTGTCTTGGGTTTTGGTGGGTTTGCAGCTTGAACACTAAGCCCTAAACCCACACCCCAAACCCAAACCTTAAAAACCCTAAGCCCTAGACTCCTTAAGGCTCCGCGACTGGGAATGTTGTTTCCGTTTTAGAGTAGAAGCCCAGAACTCGGAAACCCAATAACCTCAATCCTTAAGAGTAGTGTATACTTGGAGGTTCATGGGTACTTGTATGCAGGGTTTTAAGTAGGGTAACTATACTTGTAACCCATATTAGGGGACGTATGACCCCACTTATAACTACCCCTGAACCTCCAAGAAGGGAATCCCAGCACTACTCAGCGCCAATAGACTTTCGGGTTTAGGGGTTTAGGGTTCAGGGTTCAGGATTTAGGGACTTAGGGTTCAGGGTTTAGGGTTTAGGGGTTTAGGGTTCAGGGTTTAGGGTTTAGGGATTAGGGTTCTGGCATATGAAGCAGCCTCCGCAGAAATCCAACAGCCAATTCAGCGTGATCTGCTAATCCACCGGACAGAGGTGACGCTGGAGATCTTGAGCGGAGCTTCCGTAAAGCTCACGGCACAAAGGACCGAAACTGAAGGCAGCCAACAGCAAACGTCGCTCTGGCACAGGTACCGTGGGACTGCCGCATCTTCCAGCTGAAGCTGAAGGTTTCGAAGCTCTTGGGCGCAAGTCTCGGCAAGCTTCCGAGGTGCACCAAACCCACAGCCAGACGTTCCAATCAGGCGTCCCAGTGCACACCGTGATGAGTGCCGCGGACAAGACCGCCTCCCAGAAGGTTCTAAGCAATGAGCGGTGCAGGTCGTCCTTGCTGGTTTAGAAGCCCCAACCCGCCAAAGCAAAGTACGTACAGTCCTCCAACCAATCTAAAACCTTTACATTTAAGGTCTCGGGTTTAGGCTCCCACCAACTTAGAGTCTTTAAATTTTGGCTCTAGGGATTAGGCTCCCGCCACGCTAGAACCTTTAAATTTAAGGTCCAGAGCTTTGGCTCCCACCAACTTTAAATTTAAGGTTTAGGGTTTTAGGGTTTAGGATTTAGGTGTGAGAACCCCGAAAGGAAGCTTGAAAAAACCTTTATGGAACTTATAGAATCATTTTAGAAACCCGAAAGGAACCCTGCAAAGGACCCCGAAACCCGTAACCCTTCTTGTAGTGCCTTTACAAAACAGCGAAAGGAACTTGAAAAGGAAAGCAACCGTGTAAAGGACCCCCAAACCCTCACAGAACTTATAGAACCTTTACCGAACCGCGGAAAGCAACCCTTGAAGGCAACCTAACATTTGAAACCCCTGCGGCCGAGGAAGATGGTGGCTTTGCTGGATACCTGGCAGAGCCCAGTCTATCTCACAAGGAACTCCACCGAACGGCTTCGGGTTTAGGGTTTTATGCTTCAGGTTTATGGCGTTTAGAGGTCACTCGCACAAGGACCTCCACCGAAGGGCTTCGGGTTTAGGGTTTGGCGCTCAGCCCCCCATGACCTGCGTCGGCCTCTTTACCATTGTAAAATGCTATATATACATATATATATATATATATGTATATGTACATGTATATGTACATGTATATAAATATATATATATATATATATATATACATATATGTACCACGAAACTTTACTCTAGTTATGAAGGCCCCTGTAGGGAGGCTGGCGGAGCCAAGGGCTTAAGCTCTGCAGAGCCAGGGTACTGTGCACGCAGAGTTCAAAGAGGTTACGGCTTCGAGTGCTTCGAGTTTCAGGTTTTAGGGGTGTAAGGTTTAGGTTGTGTGGGGTTTAAGGGTTTAGATTTGAGGCGACTTTATTCAGTAGAACATTGTATTTTATTTATAATCAGGAACACCGAAAATAGTATTATGGGTAATTATTTAAGCCCCGATACTAGGGCTTCGAGTGCTTCGGGTTCTAGGGTTTAGGTGCAGGATTTCGGGTTTGCGGTTTGGGATTTAGGGTAGCAAAACCTGACTGATAGAAGCATCCTTGCTCAAGACAGTGGTTTGTGTGCTTGCTGTTTTCCTGCACTTCCGAACGCAGCCCATGTGGCCTGAAGGAATTGCAATCCGTATTCCGTAATCCGATGCCCTTACAGCACGAGCTACAAATGTTGAGACCCCGTCAACCCCCCCTCTCCCCGGTCCTCCCTCAAAAAGGCTCCCTGAACTCAAAGCCCCAAACGTCTCTAGGACGCAAAATCACAAAATTATGTATATCGCTTGACTTCGTAGGAACCCTAAACCCGTCTTTAGCACCCGTCTTAAAGCCTAGGCCTCAAAACCCCAAAGCCCCAAAACCCAAGGCCGTAAAGGCCCAAAACCCGAAAACCCTCAGCCGTAAGCCCTAACCCCTAAGCCTAAAGGCCCTACCGTATGCAGGATTTGGACTATCTTCGAGCAGTACGTTGCAGTCACCCGCGATATCGAGGCACAGTGTATTCAGCCCAGGTAGCCCGGGTTGTTCCATTCAAGGGTTTTGACTTTAGGCATGTGACAGTGGAGTTTCATAGGGGTATATAGGGGTTCTGTAATGGTCCGTATCATTACTACATAGCTACGAGGGTTCGCTATAAAGCCATATCAACACCTAAACCTATGAAGACGTTTTCTTTCATGGAGCTCTACCGCTCAGCAAATGACGTCGCCTGAAGCATGGTGCCACTATTCCTTAGTTTCAACGTCCTTGGGTTTTAGTTGTTCGCTTTGTTGGGTCGTTTGTCTGGATCCCACAAACTACAGTTGCTGCTTATACCTTGTAGTGGAACATCCTTTAAAAAGTATGCGGGAATACCACAAAACCACAGTTTTCTGTTGTTATGGTTCCGATGTTACAACCCCACTAAGGTACCTAGTAGTAGAGTAAGTAACCTTTGACCTTGTTTGGGTAGTATAGTCCCTTTTTTAACCGCTATATAACCAAAAAGGTTAACGTTTAATTCCCCATGGTACCCGACAAGTAGGGGGGCTCGGGGTTTGGGCAAGAACCGCTCTGGGACCCCAAGGCGGAATCACGCCGCGCAAACAGCACCTCTTCCTTCACAGAAGATCACTCTGATTCCTGGAAGGTGAAGATCGTCTTACCGCGAGACGTAGCCTGCTCAGACGGGGACTACTGTAGTCTATTCTAAGTACTATATACTATATAGTATATACTATATATCCCATATGCTATATGCAAAATACGATATCTGGTATGCTGTAAACTACATGCTGTACCTTATATACTATATGCTATATAGTACATACTGCATACTACATGCTACATACTAGACTTCATACTATATCTATGCTATACTGTAGGGGGTGTGATCCTTGTGAACCGGAGGTTTAAGGCAAGGGAGGCAGGGTCTGTGCGTAGAGCCCACCCCTGCTCGGCACTGTTTACAAAGTTATGACCCAAGTTTGCACGGTGTACGGGTTGGGGGTTTGGAGGTTTAGGGTTTGCAGGTTTAGGGTTTAGAAGTTTAGGGTTTAGAGGTTAGCGGTTTAGGGTTTAGAGGTTAGGGGTTTAGGGTTTAGAGGTTTAGGGTTTTCGGGGCTAGGGGTTAGGGTTTAGGGAAAAGGGTCCACCAGGATCCAGGACCCCCCCCAAAGTGCCCCTTAACAGAGCCCTTGTGGCGCTTAATAGGGGTCTAGGTCATGCAAGCTGCAGGGGCTGTGCAGGTGGTGCGAAGTGCCGGTGGTTCGAAGGTCTAGGCAGACCCGGAAAGCCCAAATGCTCACACCAAAAACTGGACGGCCCGAAGCACCACTGCTAGACTCCTAGATCGCAAACACGTGCATCCGCCCCCCCGATCCCCGCAGTCGCGTCCCATGCCAGAGTGCCTTGTATACACAGCCTCTACCCCAAAACCGGTAGCCCGGATGCTAAATCTCAAGACCCGCGAAAGATCAGGCAACACTAAAGATCAACAACCACGAAACCTCAAAGCTCAAATTAAACCCTTGAGATTCTGAACCCCTAAACCCTAAACCCTAAATCCCCAAACCCAAAACCCCTAAACCCCAAATTCCCTAAACCCTAAACCCCTAAACCCCGAATAAAGCCCGAAGCGCAGAGCGCCCAGGCCGAAGCCAATCTCTTCATGACCATCCTGAAGGGAGCGGCTACTTGGGCTTCAGAGAACTTTAGGGGTTAGGGTTTTAGGGTATAGGGGGAAGGGTTAAGGGTTAAGGGTTTAGGGTCTAGGGTTGAGGGTTGAGGGTTTAGGGTCTAGGGTTAAGGGTTTAGGGTTTAGGGTGTGGCTACTTGGGCTTCAGAGGACAGTAGTAATATGTAGGAAGCACCATCGCAATAATAAGAATAGTACGAGCAGTAAGGACAATAGATATAATTGCATTGATAGTTCAGGGGGGTCCCAGTTCTGGATCAAGGGTCTGAGTTGAGGTTTTGGGGTTTGCGGTTTAAGGTTTCGGTTGTGGAGTTGAGGGGTCGCGGTTAGGGGAGTGTGTGGCCGGCGGCACATCTTGAGTCAAGCGTGTACGCTGTGCCAGAAAACCTGATGAATTTCTGAACTTGGCTCGGGTACGAGGTTGGCGCTTGTAAGTTCGGGGATCTCCAGCAAAACACCACAGCCTCAGTAGTCTTAGGCCCAGCCGTGGCTGGCCTCACACAGAGAGCCCTTCACAAGCCAGATCGGGCTTCAGTATAGGAGCCTCAATAAAAATCAGATCTTGCTTTTGCGTTCCTTCTTATTCTTATCGTATAATATCCACCAGATAACGCTATTCTACTTATTAAGGCCCTTATAGTGGTCCTTTCGACCATGCACCGTAGGCTCTATTGCTTGCCCGTTTTGTGTAAAGTCCGCTGGTTTTCACCACACCCTTGAAAGTGCAAACATCAAAACCTGACACAACGGCGTTGTCTCTCCTTGTCGTAAGAATCTGAAGCCCTAAACCCTAAAGCTTAAACCCAAAGCCCTAACCCTAAATCCTAGACCCTAAACCCGAAGCCTTAAACCCTCAACCCGAAGCCCTAAACCCTAAACCCTAAACCGAACCGCCCGGCCCAACACCAAGGAAGGCATCGCGCTGGTGAAAGAGCAGCTTGACGGTTTAGGTTCGACCGACCCAAACCCCAAAACCCCCCAAAACCCCCAATACCCCCAATATAATACAGACCCCCTAAACCCCTAAACCCCCTAAACCCCCAATACAAACCCCCTAAACCCTACTTAAACCTCAGGTGCATCTCCCTCATGGCCTAGGGTTTAGGGAAACCTAAATCCCACATGAGGTGGGGATTAGGACTTGGGGGTTTAGGGCTTAGGGTGTGGGTGCAAAGTATAGGGTCTAGGCTTAAGTCCCTGGTTTAACAAAGCGACACGGTTCGAGTTGCAAGGATTTTAGGGCAGGGGTTGTAGCTTCCGCTTGGGTTGGCCGTGTTTGCGCATGCAGGTGTGGAGCAAGAATGAGTAATAAAGGAGCCCACATGACATTTAAGACTCGAGCTCGCTAATATAACTTTTTGCGACGCGAGAGATATGCCCGCAAGCCCTATTCTGATTATCACAAGGCCCCTACGCTACTGTTGATGTTCTAAATCCTGATTTGGCATCTTAACAAGGCATACACCATAATTCCCATAGCTTAGAGTCCTGGTCCCAAAGTCCGCAAGTCCTTCGAACAAGTCCGGCAACCCCTTCAAAGCCTAAACTTTAAGGTTTAGGGGTTAAACCATAAACCTCGGGGCCCGCACTCTGCATCCTAAAGCACTACGGAGCCCTTTAGAATCTGAAGAAGGACACTGAAAGGGACCAAAAACCTTGAGCCAGGATTGAGGGTACAAGTCTTGAAAGCCGGGCCCATAATAATCCTCATCAGGGATCTTCAACCCCCAAGTTTAAGTCAAGGAAGTCGCATATGGTGCGATTACATAACCCCACCCCTGATACCCTCAATAAAGGGCCCAAGGTTTTTAAGGTACCCAAGGTGCAATCGCCAGCTCAACATGGCGAGCACTACAAATTCCACCCACCCTTTAACCCCACGCCCAAAAGCCTAACTTAGCAGTAAAGTAAGTCACATTTAAGCTTTATTTTTTGGGGGTGCTATTAAAATAACCCCAAAGGCTGGACAACCAAGTTAACAAGGACACAGGGGCACAGATTTCATCCTACGCCCAAAACTCGTCAACCCTGAACCCAAAACCCAAAACCCTAACCCAAGGACAAGGATTTTTAACCCCAAAGCCTTCACCCAAGGACAAAGATGTTAAACCCCAAACCCTTACCCAAGGACAAAGAAATTCAACCCCAAAACTCGTAGCACAAGGACAAAGATTTTCAGCCCTAAGCCCTAACCCAAGGACACGTTTCCGAAAATTAGGGGTACCTTATGTTGGGATCCTTATAATAAGGATCCTACTATCTGGGGTTTGGGGTACTCGTTTTGGGCACCAAACCCCAAAGCCTAAACCCCAAACCATAAGCCCTATACCCTAAACCCTAAACCCCCAAACCCGTAGACCCTTAAACCCAGGTCCCTCTGTACCGTCGACTCCGCTTCGGCGGACGCCTGGTCCCCGCAGGACAAGGAGGCGAAGAGACTCCCTTAATTAAGTATCATAAGGAGTATACTTACTTAGGATCCTTATACTGAGTATGCTAAAAGAGACTCCCTTAATTAGAGTCCGTCTAGTAGCACACTATTAGTTATAAAAATAGAGACGACTTTTGTTAATTTGAATCCTTGTTATGAGTATACTTTGGTTTCAATCCTAGTCCCTTAATTATCATAAGGACTGTACTATTTAGGATCCTTATACTGAGTATACTGTGATATCTACCCTAAAGTCCGTCTAATAGTAGCTGAGTGGATACACTTTACACTTTTTGGCATAACATTATCCACCATACAACTAAAAGTGTACACTTTTGGTGGTGATGGGATCCTTACTATGAGTATACTATGATATCTACCCTAACCCTAAATCTAAAGCCCACCGTAAAAGCACACGCAGGATTTCTTTTTGTGTTAGGGCTGACGGCCCTGAGAGCCTGGAACGATTTCAAGGTCCTCTAAGGGTTCTTGGCGGTGGTCCTGTAAGCGTTCGGTGTAGCTGTTTTAGGGGTTTGGGCTTTAGGGTGTAAGGATTTAGGGTTTAGGCTTTAGAGGCTTTAGAGCTTATGGCATGAGGGCTTCTTGCGGGAGTATACGCGCTCCAAAGACTTCAAGTCTTGGAGACAGTTTGGGTGTGTTCCTGAGCCGCTATCGCGGTGAAGTGACGCTGCTTGCTGTAGAGGTAGCGGCCGCTTCGTGGAAGTTGTAGCACTAGCAGTGGTAGCGGTAATATTGCGTTGCAAGTAGAAACCACATCAGTCGTACGAAAATCGCTCCAGTCGTGATAGTGTGACGAACAATTGCAGTATCACAGTACGGTGGTCACAACTGGTATACAAAGAGGCATGGTAGTGTCTGAAATAACAAGAAGAAGTCGGTCTAGTGAGCAATGAAGAAGATCAGCAACACCGTTGTTGTCAGAGTCGCTCGTCAACAGAAAGTGGTTTGAACAATCAGTGGCGATATTCCTTTGCAGCCCCTCTACGACTCTACTTTGAATGTTCCACAAAACTGTGTTGAAATTATTCCCCGAAGCCCTAAGCCCCAAGAGCCAATTTCAAAATCCCGTAACTAGATACAGCACCGAGCCCCCTATAACGTAATCCCACACTCCTTAGGGTTTTCGAGTTAGTAATTCGGGCGCAGAGATGTTCGGATTTCGGGCTTGGGGAAAGGTTGAAGGTTGCAGATCCCTTAAACCCAGAGTTGGAACCCCCGTCGAAGTACATCGACAGCAAGAATGCCATACACGTATGTTTAATGAACTCACCCCCGTCGAAGTACATCGACAGCAAGAATGCCATACACGTATGTTTAATGAACTCCTGTTTGAGGGGCCCATTGTATTCCACGCTAGCAGCCGCATGATTCTATGATTGTTTGGCCCCCCTGACCAAGCCCTAAACTATCAGTGCCATATGCTAGAGACTGCTTGCACGAAAAATGCAAGAAGAGTAATTAAGACAAAGTAGACAAGCTACCGTACTAAGGTCGAAGTACAAACTACATTTAAGGAAGAGAAGAGAGGGTTTTCGATTAACGGATGTTGGATGTTTTAATAGGGGGCTCAGCTCGGAACCTAAGGGATACAGCATCTCAAACCTCCAAAACTCCAAGCCCCTGCACCTCCAACCCTACGGGCTCGGTTGTCTACAACCCCTGATACCATAAGTGTCGGAAGAAGCAGCAAGCTCAGTCCCTTGTAGTCCTTGTTATAAACCTTAGTTTCAAGCTTCATAAACCCCGACACTTGGTTCTGATCATATCGGCCCCGATTATACCGTAAACCACAATTACTTAGCTCCGGTAGGGTCGAATTCTGAACCTTAACGTGGGGTTCATGGAAAAGACCTTCCAAAAGACAACAAAAACCCTAAATACCCTAAATAGGATATGCTGGTTGCCGGCAAACCCGACCCTCCTCTTGCCCCGCTCTCGTCCTGAACCCGCTAAACCCCAAACCGAAGCGATTAGAGGGTTTAGGGCTTAGGGTTTAGGGTTTAGGGAACAAGAACACGAGCTCTTGCTATTCTACGGAGGCCATCCAGAAGAAGATTCTCGCCAGCTGTGGGTTCGACAACATTAACGAGCATGTCAGCCGCTTTCCCTGAAATTTAGGGTTTGGGGTTTAGGGTTACGAGCATGTCAGCGTTCTGCCCGAAAGGATGTATTTGTTGTTGGCTTCAGTAGGTATGCATTGCAGCACAGTCTAATGCGTCTTTCTGACCCTCTCACTCTGTCTCTCTCTCCCTCGGTGCCTCCCTCCCTCGCTCTTGCTCTCGCTCTGGCTCTCCTCGCTCCCGCTCTCCGCTCTCCGCTCTCCGCTCTCCGCTCTCCTCTCTCTCTCTCTCTCTCTCTCTCTCTCTCTCTCTCTCTCTCTCTCTCTCTCTCTCTCTCTCTGGCGCTCTCTTGCTAACGTATTCAATCTTCGCGTATCTTCGTGTGCGTGTGTTTGCGCATGAGTTTGTGCATTGGCACCCCTGTGACAAAGGAGTTGCTTACATGTGTAAACAACATGAACAGACCTGTGGAGTCTCATCTTGTAAGGATAGTTGGATAATTAACGGCACACACGCGCACATGCAAGAGTTTCCACAAACAGCAGAGAGGCGGGTCGACAGGTAATTAGTTACGTAGGTCGGACGACGAACTTTCAAGTAAATGGGTTGACTCGCGGGCGCCTGAAAGCGAGTATGAAGTGGTACATGACCTTGATGAGGCACAAACACGTGCTGATCCATGTAAGTAAGTATGTACGAACGAACTTGTAGAGTACTGCTTATGTTGAACCACGAGAAGGCATTTTGCGCCGTGAGTTGCTGCTCAGCTTTAGCTTTATGTTGTCGTTGTTTTATATACGGCATCGCATGTCTGAACCGGGCACATACATATGTACACATGTACGACCTTTACACACCGACACTTGTAGAT